CCGCCGCCGCCGGTGCCCATGTGGGCGGGTGAGTGGGGTCTGCATACGTGCTTGTTGCTGCTGCGCACCTCGGCACTATCGCCATGTGTTCGTCTCTCTTCTTCTCTTTTCTTTCTTTGCGCTAAATTCCCGGTTGAACGCGATGCGCAGCTTCTTTCCCGAGAGCGGTAACATCTCTCAAGCATGGTAGAGGAAACACCAGTGGTGGACGTGGCGCCGGTGGTGGTTGATGCCGTCATGGATGCGACGCCAGAGAGCCTCGAGGACGCCCTCCGCATCGTGCTGCAGAAGTCACGCGAAGCCAACGGCCTCATCCGCGGCCTCTCGGAGGTCGTCCGCGCACTCGACCGCCGNGCCCTCCGCATCGTGCTGCAGAAGTCACGCGAAGCCAACGGCCTCATCCGCGGCCTCTCGGAGGTCGTCCGCGCACTCGACCGCCGCACCGCCCACCTCTGCGTCCTCGCCGACGACTGCGAGGATGAGGAGTACAAGAAGCTCATCACCGCGCTCGCCAAGCAGGGTGTGATTGATCTCATCAACGTGGAGGAGCGCGAGAAACTCGCGCAGTGGGCGGGGCTCGCAAAGATCGGCGCGGACGGCGAGGTGAAGAAGACCTTCAAGTGCTCCTGCGTGGCGGTGCGGGACTTCGGTGAGCGCACGCGCGCCCTCGACTTCCTCCTCTCGCACCTGCGGTGAGCTGCCGCTGCTGCTGCGGTGGCCGCTGAAGGGGGCTGGAGGGCGTTTGGCGTGCCGGCTGCGTGCTTGTGTGTGTGGGCGGGCGTGGGGAGGTGTGTGCTTCCTTATTCTGCTGCCCCATCCTTCTCGCTTAGACGCGTCTCCAGACACACATGTCCTTCGATGGCATTCTCTGTTGGGAGAGAAGCAGTGGTTTTTTTTTCTTAATTTGTTTTAATTTCAACTGCCGTTTCCGTGGCTGCCCCGCAAGGCCCGGCCATTGGCAATCATCACACCCATGGCGCTGCCTCTGTCCTGCGCGCCCCCTGTCGCTCTCGCTCTCTCTCTCTCTCTNGTGTGTGTGTGTGTGTGTTGGAGACCGCCGTGCCTCTTCTTTTGCCCCGCCTGTCTGTCTGTCTGTCTGTCTGTCTCTCTACGGGTGCGTGTGTATTACTGACGCGCCGCACCACATCCGCACCAACAGGTAAAAGGGGAAAGGGAAAGAAGAGAAAAGGAAGGGCTCCGTGCGTGTGGGTGGATAGTCGGTTTTTCCTGCGCCCGCTGCGTCCTTCACTCGGCCACGCTGTCACGGAAGGGGCTACAGCGGGAGAAAAACAGAACAAAACAAAAACACGCCCGAACACGTTTCGACACAGCGGCGGGACGCGACATATCTTTATACAAATACACACGGCCACCACCGCCACCACCACCACCACCACCAGCAACAGCAGCAGTAGAGACAGGAGCCGCGCCAAGTGTAGAAGAGAGGAACGAGGGAGAAAGGAGGAGGACACAGAGGCCCAACAACAATAACAACAAGATCAACAGAAAAATAAATTCTACAACCGCCCCAAGGGCAAATAGCAGTATCATTGCGAAGCGGTGTAGAAAACAGACAAGGAAGCGCTCGTATAGGGAATCAATAAGGAAGTTTACTCCTTCGTTCTCTCACAAACAGACATATACGGATAAACACAAAAAAATTCGATATTTAGAAGGTAAGAATAAGGAAATAGACACACTGAAAGAGAGAGCGCTAGGCAATCAGGCCTATCGTCTTTCCGTGTGTACGTCTCACTTTCTTTCTTTCACCGTCTGTGTGTGTGTGTGTGTGTGCAGTTGCGCTTTACACAGCAGCAGTGGGATCACATACATACACATACACGAGCGAGTGCGCAAACCAACAACAACAACAACAGCAAACAGATAAGCACAAACAGCTTTTGTACATAGTAGCGTAGCCCCTCAATGAGTGCACCGTTCATCCCGGAGTTGTCGCTCGGCACTGTCGAGACGGGCGGTGGCTGGGGCGTCGGCGAACAGTTCGCACGGCTGCCACCGGCGTCCGTGCAGGCAGAGTCGCGGGTGCCGGTGTACACCATTGGCCCGGATAGGGGCGAGAACGACCACAACGAGTCGGACTCGGACTCGTCATCGTCGTCTGATGGCGACGGCGACTCCAGCACGCAAGAGCCTTCGCCACTAGTGTTGCGGAAACTAGCAAAATCAGTAGCAATGGAGAAGGTGCCGACAACACACTACACTTCGCAGTCCGCGGAGGATGACGATACGTTTGTGGACCACGGTAGCACGGCCCCGCCCGCATCGCCACCCACCGACGTGCTCACCACCACCTGTGGCAACATCACGAAGGAAAACCCGTGCCAAACACCGGCGCTGCATCTGAAGTTTTCGCGGCCGGTTTCCCGTATGATAGTGCAGCAGGGCGTACGTGCAATGGTTGTGGCCCCCAACGGTGGGTCCCTGTGGGTCGCTGTTGGCGACGACCCTATCACCATGATGGATTTCAAGGGTGTGGAGTTGAATATTAGCCGTACGGTGGACGTCACGCATGTGTACGCGATGACGGTGGTGCGGATACCGGCGGCAAAGTCCGTCACATTTAAAACCCCCCCGCGTGCCGCACATCGCGGCAAACACAACCCCGCGCCGAGGCTGGGACAGTCGTGCGACGACGATGGTGAGGACACGTACGCACTGTGGTGCGGCGTAACGCGCGGAAGCATTGTTATTGTTAACCTTGACGACTACACTGGCGGTGGCGTCATACGTGGCGCCCATGCGCAGACAATCAGTGGTCTCTGGCACCTCGGCAACGGCAAGGTGTGGACTGCCGGATACGACAAAGCGCTCAAGGTCTGGGACCCGCAGACGCGCCGCCGCACGAAGAGCCGAAACATTGCGGCCATCATCACGGATCTCTGCTACGTGCGCAGCTGCAAGCAGGTGTGGGCTATAAGCGATGACACACTCATTCGCGTCTTCGACGCAGCGGGCAACAACGTGCGGGTGGCGAAGCAGTCGCCGGACAAGCCAGAGAGCGCGCTCCGCATGAAGAGCGAGATGCGCTCTATCGCGTACTACGAGCCTGCCGACCTCATTTACGTTGCCTTCACGCGCAGCCTCGCTGCTATCGTCCCCGCTACCTGTGAGATCGCTGTCAACATCAATGTCACCCTCACCTCCATGACGTTCTTGGAGAACAAGGCGCTCGTGACGGGGCACGGCGAGCTCCTGCAGTGCACACGGGAGGCGATCGGCCTCGTTGACCTCACTGACCCCACAGCGCCGGCGCTCCTATTCCGCGGTGTGGCATTAGATGGAAGTGTGACGCCTGTTGGCATGCGGCTGCTCACAGCCGTGCCGTTTGCCGTCGCCGCGCAGGAGGCGGGGCGGGCCGAGCGCTTTCTCACAGTTTTCAACTACGAGGACTCCAAGGCGTTCGGCAGGGGCGGCATGCTCGCTTCCGTGCCGCAGCAGCGAAAGATTACACTTGAGAACCCCAACACGCGCCGCACCACCGCAGTATCACAACAGTGCGCTCTTGCTGCGGCTGGGGTGTCCGCTTCCACGACGCCTACAGCGGCGACGGCGACATCAGTGCCACACCACTCCGTTGTGTTCGCCACCGGAAAGAGGGCAGGGATGGCGCGTGAGGAAAGCAATATGAGCAATGTATTCCCGCATCGCGCAGCTGTTGTAGTGTCATCACGGCTGGAAAATATTGCCGGCAGCAATAACAATACCACCAACAACAAAAGTTGTACCAGCAGCGTCACTGGCAGCAATATGGAGAGGGGCGTCGCAGTTCAGCTCACAGCGCCACCGGAACTCATGGCGTCAATAACGAATATTGAGAAGCATACAGAGGACCTCAAGTCACTTTTTGCACAGTTGCGTGCTTCACGCCCGTTACTGGATGACTTCTCCAAACTGCACGCACGGGTTTCACGTATAGCTATGGACAACCAACTAGGAGCTCCGCTTGACCCAGATACCTTGGAGTCCATTGAGCGGAATTATCAAAGCCTCGAGGGCCGTGTTATAGTTGCTGCGGTGGAGCGGCTGCGCTTGAGCGCAGCTTCTGCATCACTCATGCCGTCTACACCTGCCTCTACACGTGTGCAAGGAAGTGGCGGGAGGCGTGTTGCTCAGTCTCCTGGTGGNGGCGGTGGTGGTAGCTCGCCGCCGCTCGAGGCAGAGAAGCGTGGCCGCATGACGACGGACGCCGTTAGCAGCAGCAGAGGCGATGAGGCCGGCAACATCTCTGGTTCGGAGCTCCCACCAGAGTCACTGCTGCGCTGGGTCGCGCAGATCACACGCTCCGGTCAGGACGAACGAGAGGCTCACCGACGGCAGATTGAGAGTTTACAGAGGCACAACACACGGATTGTGGAGCGCAATGCAGCCTTCATCAACGGCCTCGCCCGTATGGAGCAGGCCCTCCGTACCCACGCACAGCGGGTACTCGAGGCGGATACCACGGCAGTCATGTCGGACGCGAGCTGTGACTCGTTGAACCAGTTACACAGCCAGCGCTGTGCCCAGATGCTCACACAGTCGCTGCAACAGATTGAACAGGTCTCCGTTGCGAGCTCCCCGAAGGAGATTACAGAGGCAATCAACGGCCTCATCACGCTCACTTCGCGGCTTCTCACTTCCCAACAGAGTGTCCACGGTGACGATACAGTGAGGCGCACACTCCTGGACTCCTCGTCGGCACGAACAACGGGCGATCAGGGCGGTGATGTGGGGAGGCAAGTGATGAACAACGGTGGCGGCGTTCACACCGGCCGCTCGCACTCCCCACGGCCGTCAGCGGTAGCGGTGGTGGCGATGCGGCCGCAGCGGATATTGAACACCATCGAGGATCAAATCGCGTCAGTCGAGGAGTTCGTCAAGGACGTTGGAAAGTTTTGGTACTGCCTAGAGGAGACACAGAAGGTCATCTACCTGCCCTACGAGAGCGGCGGCAGGCCGGACCTCTTCCAGGACTTCATGCAGCTCGCAGTTCTCTGGCACCTGCGTGAGGCGCAAGTGATGGTAGATGTCTGCCGCAAGGAATCTGTCATGGTAATGGCAGAGGTGCTGCTTTCCGACATTGAGAACAGGGAGGACACCATTGCGAACAGCCCCACGGGCGTAGTACTCTGCAGTGGCACAGTGATTATGGCAGAACAGAATATGGGAACAGGTAACAGTGTGACACCTGCCGCTGCTTCCGACACAACCGTCGCTACTGCAGAAACGGTGCGGAACGACTCCGAGCGTTTGGTCGGTGTCGGTATTGAGTTGGAGACCGTTGCCTCACGCATCCGTGACTCTTTCAAAAAGGCTGCGCGGGAACTCCCGAAAGGCCTTGAAAGGGAGGCCGTCGGCGGCTTTCTTTGTATCCCAAAAGAAAAATTCCACGTGGATATCGCACGACTGCGTGGCATGCTGTACTGGGAGCGTATGACGATACATCTGCTCTTTGAGTGCTTAGAGTGCCTTGAGGAGCTTGTGTTCCATAACGACGAGCAGCCACGCGGGTTTCGCAAGGACAACATCAAGGCACTTGAGCAGCAGGTAGATGACTGGCGCGTCTTCCTCGAGGATGTCCACGGAGAGTCAACGCAGCTGCGCTCCGTAATTGTGTCCTCGCATCGAGAAGGCGGCGTAGGCGGTGGCCGCAGTAAGAGCAACAGTGTCAGCGGTGGCGCTGGAAGTGGCACTGGCGGCGGCAGCGGCAATGGAGGAGACAACGATGCGGGCGGAACGGAACGGAGCACACAATGGGTAATGCTCTTCGGCCTGTACGTGCAGTACACCACCCGCACCGATGCCCTGCCGGCACTATTTGTCTCTCAGGACACCAACGACGCCGTGAGTGCGGCTGACTTTGGCCTCATGGCGCTGCACGATGAGATCGCTGAGGTTGTAGAGGCGGTGCGTGCGAAGAGCAGTGCGCTTCTGCGCTACTGCCAGCGGATACAGAGCTGCCTCACCCGCATCATTGAAGACGCGATGGTGAATGAGGAGGCGGGGCAGGTGCTCATTCCCGCCTGGCGTGGTGGCCCCATCGCGGAGCGGTACTGCAAAGGCTTCTGCCACGACATGGCATGAGAGTGTCGCCCCGTTGGACGACGAGTAGTGTTGCGTAACGTACATATATCTGTACATATCTATACATATATGTACTTTCTGGGTGGTGGAACAAGGGGAATGCAGCGGCTGCTGCTGCAGCCCCCCGGTCGTATTGCTCGGGGGGGGGAGGGGGGGGTGAATGTCTCGCGCCTCGACGGCAAGAAGGAACATGGAGATTAAGGGAACAGCAGCCAAAAAAACAATAACAAAAAACAAAAAATGAAAACGGAGGGGGCGCGTACGTAATGGGAAACACATGTATTTGTAAAAAAAAAAAA